GGAGAAGCAACATGTCCGTGCTTACAGTCTTCGGGTGACATGCCCCTGGATATGATTTTTCCTTGACGTGATCCACCAATTACTCAACATAGTTTCAGGCCTTAAAAGAATAAACTCATCGCTAGTGCTTATATGTGAGCTTCCTTGATACCAAACAAATGTTTTGCAGTTAGAAAAAGTTTATTATGAGAATGAAAATTCTAATGCAACAGTTATGTAAGTCTTGAAGATTTTGAAAAGATATCCCACAAATTTTGCGAGTTAGAGCACCATTAATTTTTGTATAGAAAAAGCATATGATACCAACATAACTATTTAGAACATTCATGGGAGTCAGGAACACTATCTCATTGAAGTATGCTTTCAAAATAATTTTGCTTCAATTAGGAATTTTTGAAGGTTGTAACGTGGTCTGGTTCATGGTTTTTAGAAAAATATTTTAAGGCTCAAAATATTTGGTGCCCAACCATTCTTCATGATGTTCTCCAACCCTATGTTCAGTTAATTCAACATGAGTGTTCATCTCTCAAAAGGATTTTGTGACGGTTAAGGAAACGACGAGGTTTTCGGAGTAGAAACCAACCTCATGTCTTCGTGTTTGTAGTCACAAATTTGTTCTTTGCTGAGGACTTTTCTTTGTAGTCCTTTTCTTTGCAATTTTTATTTTCCCTAACTTTTGCCTGAACTAATTCTTTTGAATTGATAGTCCAGTGGGATGCCTTAATTTTGCCTAAGTCACACGTTTTCATGTTTTTTGACTTAGCAGGCTTTTTCTTTTTCTCGATTTTTGACTTTTTGAACAAAATGTGTGACATTAGCTTGTATTTGCTTGTTGAGAAGATTGTGATTGCCTCGTTTCTTGATGAATGAGGGATAACATTGTGATTCCACATCTTCTGGCTTCATTATACATGAAAGATAGCCCTCGTAGTTTCTCTTCAAAAAATATCTTCCTTATGAATTTTGAACACTCAGTCAGATTAACTAAAAAAAACTACCCTGCCCCAGGTTAAAATTCAAGGTTTTTTCGTATAGAAAAGAAACTTCTGCTTCAAAGGCTCAAAAGGGGTTAGCAAGGGATTATCTTCCTTATATCTCCGGTGTTTAGGGATTTGAAACAATGCCTGTACATCATCAGCAAGATTTTATCCAAAAACATGCAACCAGAGATTTTGTGTTCTTTAGATCATCATCCTCCCTTCGATCTCTGCCTAGGCAAGAGAATGAGCAACAATTTGGTATCATAGTGCAAAAGCAATTTAAAATTTGAAAACAAATATGAGTGAAACGAATGAATTTCTTCAAGACAAACATACTCATTGTATTAAGATAATCATTCAGATGCAAACAAGTTCTTACATGCAAACAATGTTTTGATAAACAAGAAAAATTACAAAAAGCATAAATAAGTTAATAATCTGGGAAGGCTTTCCATCTGGACTCGAATCACCGAAAACATCTTTCAAAACTCAAAGTGACCATCAATCGTGTTTACTCTTCGGCACGTGCTTGATTTGAACTTCAAAATCAACGTCCTTGAATGACAAGATACCACTTCTGACCAACTTCTGAACCTCAATCTTCAAAGCAAAGCAACCCTCCAAGTCATGCCCAGGAGCATCTTGATGAAAGGTACATGTCAAATCAGCTTTGTAGTACCAATGTATCTTCTCAGGAACCTTCGGTGGAGGTCAGGTCTGAACCAAATTCCTCTGCATCAGGATAGGGAACAACTCTGTATAGGTGATTAGAATTGGATCAAATTGAGTTTTCCTCTGATTAGGAACTTGCTGATTCTGTTGATAAATGGGAGAAACATGATGATTCTGATGATGATTATTTCTTCCTCTGGTTCTCTTCTTGGAAAAGTTATTATCAAACTTCTTCACACCATTAGCTGAGCTACCATCTTCATATGAACATCCCTTTCCGACATCTTCTTCTAGACGCACTCCCACATTCACTTTGTCAGGAAAGTCATTAGGTGCATTAACCATCACCTTCTCATGAGAGAATGATTTTAGAGTTTCAGTGAAGACTTTTATCATCGCTTCGTCCCTCCTAGAAGGATTGACTTGGGCGGCAACCAGAATTTCAACCAAACCAGTTAAGCGCTCCACACTAGCTTTCAAATTAGTCACCTCTCTACGGAGTTCAGAAACCTCTTGCTTGATATTCTCCATTGTTCTCTTAGCAAGAGTGTTGTACTGGTGAGACCAAAGGAAAAAATAAGACTCGGAAAAAGACCTTTGAAAGTGAAACAGAAAAATGTAGAATGATGTATGATATGCAAAAGAGAGTTTTTATTTGATTTTCAAGGAACTCAAGATATTAAGTTCTAAACATCAAGGTATGAAGATAGGAGATGAATTTTAAATTGGCTCCAAACATTGATCAAGTTATCATCAAGATCAATCATCTATTTTGGTGGATTAGGGTTTTCGCCCTATCAACACCCAAGATCCATTGAGCTTGACGAAACTTGTGATGTTTACAAAGAAAGACCTCCAAACTCCTTCAAAGTCAAGTGAAAAGGGTTTTATGGATGCATGAATGCATGGCTATGCAACAACCACAAGCAAGGTCACAAATAAAGTCGAAAGGTTCAACGTCACGAGCGCGGAGTCAAGGTAAGGAACACCCCCAAGGTATGTACTAACGGTTTAATCACACATGTAGAACAAGGTTCTAAGAGTTCCCGGAGTCTACATTCCTCCTTCGGATATTACCAACGTCTTGATTACTCAATAATCAGCAATATTCTCAAGAGAAACTCATCCGAGCGTAGCATCGCATAACAATTACTTCCGAATTACTCCGTTATAATCTCCGCGCTACACCTAAAAGGCCAAGATGGGTTAGGGTTCTACGGTTCCCAGCTTCTCTGGCTCCCAGGTCGAAAATAATAATGTCTTCCCGATTACTCGGTAAACAAATATTACGTTCAAAAGGGCCTTCCACTGAGTGGGGGATCTCATGCCTCCTTCTTCGGGATTACTCCCTCAAAGTTAACATGACTATACCGCCCGTCCTATTCCTAAGTGTAACTTAGTCCGGGTATAGGACTTTTCCTTTGTAAATATTATCAACACCCAAATAATCATAATATATACATATAATCAAACAATCAAATAATGATAAAACAGATAAACCAAATTAGGCTTAACCCACTTAGGGATGGACCAGCAAGAGGTCAATCTTTCCCCAGCAGAGTCGCCAATTCAGTAGCGGTGAAAATCGGAGATCAAGCTATTAATTAACTTGACTCACAAAAGCAAGACTCGCCACCGCGCTTTATTATTTCCAAGGGAAAAGGGAAAAGAGCGAAATAAAACCCTAAAATATGCAATGTAAAATAATACTTAAAAGTAATAAAAATACAATGCGTTTTTTGAAAAAGATCGAGAGTTCGGGGGTTGGTTATACAATGGGAAGGTATTAGCACCCAATGCATCTGCGGTACTCCGCAGGAACCTTTTGAAATATCTGTTTTTTTGGTTAAAAATTGTTTGTTTGTGTTTTTTAATCGTTTTAATTGCAAAGATCTTGATTAATGCATGATTAGAAAAAAAAATATTTAATGCAAAATATATAAAAGAATGTTCATGAGTTTTGAATAAGAATAATTGGATGATAATGATAATAATTAATATAATAAATAGGAATTAACATAAATAATAATTATAATTATAAAATAAAGAAAAGGATAAAATAATATAATAATTATAACAAAAGTAGAAAGTATAAGAATTATATAAAAAAAATAGAAAATATTTAGTTAATTCCAGGGGGTGCAATTTATAGTTAATAAGTAAAAGCTGGGGGTGCAAATAAACAAAAGAGAAACCCAAATATCTAAAGCCCAAATACATTCAATGGTTCCTAACTTTAAAACAATTAAAACAAAATGAAGAAAATGTACTAGTACCATGTTGCAACGTTAGATGAAAGGGCGCTGCCCTGTTTGGCCTTCTTCTAACCCTCATTCCAATCGGCGGTTGACACGTGGTATTTACTAAATTAAAAGTAATAAAAAAGAAAAAGGAAACCTGATATATGAAGCAAAGGGGATCGATTCCCCTAATCTATTTTCTTTCTTCCTCGTGAAAATACCAACAACAATTGCTTTTTACCTCTTACTCTTCTCTTATGTTCATTCATCATTTTTCCTTAAGCACATATATACATAGAAACATGAGAGCAATCCATCAACAAATGAAGAAAAGAGTACCAGATTGGGGGCGGCCGAATTGATGGTGGCCGATGAGTGGTTGAAGGCAGATGACGTATGCTGTGATGCTGGTCGCAACTTCATCGGAGACGGAGCTGCTCATGGGGGGTCCGATCAAAGGTGATGGACGAATAGACGGACTCGCGAGGTGGACGATGGTGGTGCACAGCGGTAGTATGAGGGAGGTGGTGAATTGGTCTGAAACAGAGACGTCAGAGGTTGTTCTATCACATTGAAACAAAGACAGCGAAGACGTGTCCTCTGATCCAATTTATCTTCTTCGTCTCCTTTCTTGATTTTTTGAAGTTTTTGTTTATTGTCGTTGCAGGTTTGAATGGTTCATGTATTTTGTGAATGTTGGAATTTACGGTTCAAAGTTTAAAGAAAAGAATGGACATAGAGGTGTTTGATTGGTGACAGTGTTTAGTTGCGGCAAGGAGATTTTAAGGAAAAGTAAAGGATGAAAACTGTGTGGTATGAAGCAGAGAGAGGAGAAAGGTTGGTTCGAAGGTAGTTGATGAAGGGGATTGGAAGAGGGTTTTGGGTAGTTCGGGGCAGCAACGGATGACCCATCTGAGGGCAGTGGTGGAAGTGGAGGAAGAGAGTTGGTTGGAGGAAGTGTTCACGCTGGTGATATTCACAGGTGGAAGTGTAAGCCATTTGGAATCTTCTGCGGAGATATGGCAGTAACGAGTAAGTGACCTCAGGGCGAGTCGGACATACATGTGGGCATGGGGAGCGGTGCTGAATGATGATGGCCGGTGGTTAGTTAATCGGACAGTGGGGAGAGGTTTGTTGAGGAAGGAGCTGTTTGACAGAAAGAATGCTTGAGGAAGGTGCTGCTTGACGAAGGTGCTTGCGGAATGGGTTGCAGTTTGATGGAGGTGAGCTGAGTGAGGAGAAACACAGTGAGGGCAAAGACTGATGCAACAATCCAAACAATATACATTCTTTTCATTTTTTTTTTGGTTTTCGGATGAATTAAGCAAGCGTTGTAGAATTTATCGGTGAGGAGAAATTGAAGCCAGCGAGGAACTGCTGCAGAATAAATATCCATGATGATGATGATTTTTATTTGGTTTGTAGTGTTTTAAGTGTGTGAGTATTGTTGTTGTTTTTTTTGTGTGCAGTTGGATGTCGATCCGCGTGAAGTTTTTGAGCAGTGTTTGAGACTGTTGATAAATATTTGAATGGATGGTGAGGATTTCAACTTTTAGAAAATGCTTTATGATGTTGATGTGGTCCCACTCTGCAATTTTCTTTCTCTATTTTTGACAAAAACAAACAAATAATAACATAATAGTAACAATAATATAAGAAGAAGAGAAAAGTATTAGTAACAATAAATAAAATAAAATAATAAAATGCAACAATGATAATAACAATAATGAGAACAAAAATAAAAATAATTAGTAACAATAAAAGATGAAATAATAAAATGCAATAAAGATACTAATAATAATAATAATAATGAGAAAAAGGGAAAATAGTTAGTAATATCTAAAAGAAATAGAAATAGATTAAAATAAGAAGAAAAAAAAAATAATAAGACAGATTTTTGAACTAAAACAAATTCATTGGAAATATGATAGAAAATGCAAATGATAAACTATTTTAATTCTTTTTTTTTTTTAAATAGAAATTAAAATGATGAATAAAAACAAGAAAGTATGCGAAATGATCGATTTTTCAAATTAACGACAAAATATGCACCAGTCGAAAAAAGTGAAGGGGCGAAAAATGGGGTGCGACAGTTGTGCCTTGATAAATCAGTCTTCGAGAATCCATAATCAACCGTACTTTTGGCTTGGGAGACTCAAAACCTTAATTTAGGCTCGACACCTGATGCTCTTGATTCAGACTTGTCTCTGCACATGAAACAAAAGAAAACATGAACATACACCTTTGTATGCGATTAGAAATTAGTGATACATGGGCTAAAAATGTTCAAAACACTTAACAATCTTCGCATAGTCAAAGCTCGAAGGTGAGACGTTAAAACTGACTGTATTTCGTGACCTTGACTTATGTTAAAAAATAAAAAATAAGAATGGGATCTTAGGTCAAAAATTGGGGTACAACACTTGCTACATGCCTTAATTCGACACTTCCCTCCTTCACATGTTCACGAATGAAGTGAAATCGAACATCAATGTGTTTGCTTCGTTCATGATTCACTGGATTCTTTGCCAATTCGATAGCTGATTTATTGTCCACTTGTATTATTGTTGGACCTTCCTGTTTTAGCTCCATCTTGCTTATCAATCTTTTGAGCCATACTGCATGACAGACGCACCAGCATGCTGCCACATATTCAGCTTCACACGTCGAAAGTGTTACTATAGGTTGCTTCTTTGATAGCCAAGTAAATGTTGTGTTTCCCATGGAAAACACATATCCAGAGGTGCTCTTTCGATCGTCTATGTCTCCGCACCAGTCACTGTCAGAATAACCAACTAACTTGTAGTCTTCTGTTTTTGAGTAAAACATTCCTAGTGATATTGTTCCTTGGATGTATCTTAGAATTCGTTTCAGCACCTTCCAATGTGTGTGTACTGGTTCCTCCATGAATCGACTTAGCACGCCAAAACTTAGTGAAATGTCTGACCTTGTGCATGTGAGATATCGAAGGCTACCTACCAAGCTTCGATATTTGCTTCCTTCAACCCGTTCTCCTCCATCAAACTTTGACAGTTTTGTACCTGGTTCCATTGGCGTCGAAGTTGGATTGCAATTCTTCATTTTATATTTTTCAAGGATTTCTTTTGCATATTTTTCTTGTGAGATAAAAATTCCAGCTTCTTCTTGTCGAATCTCCAGACCAAGAAAGAATCTCATCAGACCTAAGTCTGTCATTTCAAATTCGTTTGTCATGGTGCTCTTGAAATCTTTGATCATCTGAACATCACTGCCTAGAAAGATAAGGTCATCAACATGGAGAGAAACAAATAATAAATTACTTCCATTTTTCTTCACATATAGAGCGGGTTCATAAGGACATTGCTCGAACCCATTCTCTTTGAAATGAGGTTCTTGTTTGTTTGTTGAGCACACATTCTTCACAGAATTTTCCTTCGAAATCCATGTCTGATAGTCCATGCACCATGTTCCTTTTTGCCAACCTTCTCAAACCAGCATGATGTAGATGACCAAAGCGCATATGCCACAGTGACGCTTTGTCTTTCACTTCGATTTGCAGACATTTCTCTCAAATGTTCCTCAAGTTCAGTTTGTACATTCGATTTCTTTCCATTTCGACACTGGCAATCAGATGTCCTACTTTGTCCTTCAAATGCACTGTTCGATATTTCATAAGTATCGGAGCACCTTTTTCTGTAAGTTGTCCCAGACTTAATATGTTGGTCTTGAGATCTGGTACATAGTAAACGTCTTCGATTGATCCAATCAAGCCATCCTTCTGCAAGTAACCGATTGTGCCCTTTCCTTCGACCTTCACTTTCGATGCATCTCCAAAAGACACATTACCATCTTCAATTCTCTTCATATCTTTAAACAGGTGTTTGTAACCACACATGTGATTACTTGCTCCTGAGTCAAGATACCAAACATTGTCATTATTGGTGTTGATTTCGTTTTGAGCAATCAGGAGAAAGCCTTCCTTCGATTCATCTTCCACGGCTAGGTTGGTTGTTCTTCAATCTTATTTTCGATTCGACAGTCTTTTGCAAGATGTCCCACTTTGTCACAGTTGTAACATTTGTAGGAGTTACAATCCTTCGCATAATGACCATACTTCCCACACTTGTAGCATTCGAAGTTGGAATGATTCGAACGACCACCTCTTTGACCACGTCCTCTGCCACGCCAATTTTGTTGGCTCGATTGTCCTCTTTTGAAGTTGCTACCTCTACCACTTCAACCACTGTCACGACCTCCACGTCCACGTCCTCTTCCTCTTCCTCGAAAGTTGTGAGAAAAGAGTACCTTTTCGTATTTTTTCGATTCCTTGGTTTGATTTGCTTCTTCGACTGCTTCTTCTTTCTTTTTCATCTTTCGTTGTTCATGTGCTTCGAGAGAACCAGTGAGCTCTTTGACTGAGAGCGTCGAAAGGTCCTTCGACTCTTCTATTGCACACACAATATTCTCAAACTTGTTTGTTAAAGGTCTCAAGATCTTTTCAACAACTCGTGCATCATTTATTGTCTCTCCATTTCTGGTGAGTTGATTCACCACCTTTTACACACGTGTGATGTAGTCAGATACAATTTTTGTATCCTTCATCGGTATCCTCTCCAATTCGCCACGAAGAGTTTGGAGTCGAACTTGCTTCACTCGATTTTCTCCTTTGAACACTTTTTCTAACGTGTCCCACGCTTGTTTCGACGTAGTCGAACCAACAATTTTTTCGAAGCCTGATTCATCTACATCCCTGAACAACATGTATACTGTCGTTTTGTCCTTCGATCGCGTCTCTTTCAACGTCTTCATTTGAGCTTCCGTATATCCCCCAACTTTTGTTGGTTCTTCAAACCCATCATGGGTCACATCCCACGCGTCTAGAGATTCAAGAAGAGCTTTCATTTGGATACTCCTGTTTTCATAATTTGACTTCGTTAGCCGTGGAAACGGCATTTGATTCATCATATTTGCCATGAGCTCTGATGCCAATTTGTTATAAAATAATCAGACTTCGTTATGTGATTACTTGTATATTGCTCTTTATAAATAAAATACACTCTTGGTCTTTATATAGACCTAATGACTTTTACAATTCTAAAAATATAACTGCTACTAATAAAACTATCATAACTTACTAACTTTTGTCCTTCCTACTACCATATTTAATATGAAACTTATTACTAATGACATTTAAAGTTTACTCAACAAAATATACTGTAGATCATAAAAAGAATTCAAAACTACAAAATTATTTCTAGCCACAACCAAGATTTCCACTGAACCAAGATTTTCTGAATAGAATAGCCTGCTTGCATCACTATCCTGTGAGACATCACTGCCACCAGTTCTAACCCGCTGTGGTTTCCTCCTTCCAATTCTGGTGGCAGGTTGTCTTGCACATCATAATTGCCAACAACCTTCTTAAGAAAGGATACATGAAAAGGACAAAATTGGCAGTTTGCATAGAATGGATTTTCATTATAGATAGTCTGATTAAATTTTGAAACCTGAATAAGGTGAATAGAGGAGTTGTTGGACCGATACAGCAGACCTGGAATAATTACTGCATAGCCCCACAAAAGCCTAATGACATCCATTTTTGGCATAACTGAATACTGAAGCAAAACAATGAAACTCTTATGGACTCAAGCTGTTGGGCCTAGCACGTGAGTTTCTAAACCCAATCCCCTTTTTCTGAAAATACACCTTGTTTCAATTCAACACTCCTCTATTTTGGTTTATTTTTTAATCTTTTCTATTATTTTTCTTTTCCATAATTTTTTACAATAAAAAGGTATAATAGAAACAATAAAAAAATATTAGATTTAGGAGACATTTTTAAGAATTAATTAGGATTTTCTTTTCCCTTTTGTAACTTTTTTGGTCAATTTTAATCACTAGTTTTGTTCATTTTTATGTCACATGTTCGTTTGCGATATTTGGTATTATTTTGGTATGAATTGTGTGCAATATTTTAATATTTGTTACTCGATTTTTGTACTTTCTTGTATGTTCTTAACATGTTCCCCTAGGACTTTTAATCCAATTTTGATCCCTTTATTAATTTGAATTAATTAGATTTTAGGACTTTAAAACCAAGCATGACAACAGTTACGTAGATTTTTCCTTCTCAATTCAAACCTTAGGTCCATGATGCATGAAAATATTAGGATTAGTTTCCCTTAGTCCTTTTCTTCTTTTTGCATTGCATCTTAAAACTAAAACTTCTTTTTTTGCAAATTCTCAAGCACTTGACGAATAAAGTTGCGAATAATATGCCATGAACCTTGAGCGGTGGGAGGAGAATGTAATGGTGCATTCCAAACCTTGTTCTTTCTTTCATCCATAGTCTTTAGTATGATTAAATTATCAAATTAATTTTTTGCTTCAAACACAATAAACTTAATGAATAAAGTT